CCTTTGCCCAGCAGTGGGACATGTAAAGGCTGTTACTTTACTTTTTACTTTTACTATAGCCCCCGTAAAAGTTATGCGATATACCCATACCTTACACTGAAACTGTCAAGGATCTTGGGATAATAATTTCATCTAATCTTTCCTAGCGTGCACATGTAAGTGAAATTAGTCGAAAAGTTCACTTATCTTTTCATTTTGACTTTATAGTGTACCATAATTTTTTTCAAATAGTATCCTTAAAATTAAAATTTGTAGACAAAGTACGAAAACATTGTCGCTGCTGTGGAAATCGAATCCACGTCTTCGGCATTCGTGGCGTGACGCTTTGGCCATTAAGCTAAACGGCTGACTGCCACACCGACGAAAATCTTATCTTATCGAATATCGTTTTACAATGATAATTCGAACGAGAGATGTCGCTATTGTTTCTTAGAAATTTTAATTTTTAAATACCTACTATCCTTTTAAATTTTTCGTACTATCTTTTTTACCGTACCTAAATCCAAGCTGAGTTCGATTGGTGCCGGCACCAATGAAATTGTGAATTTTAAGTGCTGTATTATCACGTGCTCAGCGGTGAAGTAAAACAAAACCTGCATGTTTTCGAAATAATAACAAAAAAAAGTCTGCCAATCCACAGTGGGGCCGCGGCATACGTTATAGGCTGTTAGGCTGTTACTTTATTTTACTTTTTAACCCTTTATAAAAGCGCCATCTATGATTATAAGCTTTAAAGATTACGGCTTTATTTGCGGTAGACATTATTCAACGTAAGAGTATTCGAAAATTTCCAATAGATGTCAGGACACAGACACTAATGAAAAGAGTAACAAAGACAAAATAAAATCTGAACTGTGTGATAAAGTGAGAAGGAAGATTCCACTACTACATTCGAATGATACTACTACACCGAAATTCTGTTACAAGAAAAGAGAAGTTGTAAAACAACAACTTTGTTCGCCGCTTGTGCTTGTGCTTGGTTTGGTTTTCTATCAGATGTAAAATGGACGAGCGGTCGTGTCGCTGTGCGCTCGCAAAGTCCGCGTGTTTGTTGTAAAATCGATGTTTATTTTGACGTGAATACGAATATTGTTTACGCGATTGTTCGACTTCTTCGGAGTTTGGTTACCGAAGGAGATTGTGTTGTGCATGTGTTTTTTATGACGCTAACGCTCACTTTACTTGCAGTGATTTTGCTGATAGCTCACTCACCGGTGGGTGCGCGCGTGAAAAACTACGTGTTCGGTTTTTTTTAAGAGCGAATAGTCATCGAGTGTCGGTGTTTTTAGTACCATCATGCTGTGTACGGTGACATAGTGAACGTTGAGTTAACCCTGACCTCTGACAATCATGTCTGGGCGCTCGGATTGCAGAAAATTTGCACCGAACATCTTCAATAAGAGCAAGTGCACTAATTGCTTCCGACAAAAAGAGGAACACAGCGCGGAGGCCTTGGAATCTAATCGGGTATTTTTTTATTACCATTTGAAATCAAAACATTCTTTCTACCTGATTCCTGATCACCTGTATGGTAAATGTTTCAAGTGTAGTGTTTGTGTTTTTAGTTTTTCTATTAGTTAGAGTGTACGCTGGCCACTCTTTGAAGTGTTGAACTAACGGAATTTATCGAGTTCGAAAAAAAATTGAAAACAATGTGGGTACTTATTCAATAATGACGGACTCCTCATAACTGATTACAGCGAATATTTTAGTTCATTGCTCAATATTGTTTGGAAACCAAAATATGTTATGTGATTTTATTGTCCTTTAATAAATTTAAATTCACTTTATTATTAGTTGCTACAAAATAAACACATATTTTATAAAATAATAGAAGCTATGCCAATAATAAATACAGATATTGGTTAATCGGTTAGAAAGAATTGAAATTAAAAAGAGTTCATTTATTCATTAATGTGAAGTATTACTTATGACTTCTATTGTATCCAATAATTTTAAATTCAACTTTATATTTATATTTCAATTCCGATTTAAATTCTTTCGTAAAATTAAGATTCTCTAAAATACTGCGTATTTTTTTTTATTCGGCAGTATTGGCGCCGTAGAGGCGGAAGACAATCGAGATGACTGGTCATTGGTCAAAAAAATAATAATTCGCTTGCCGGTGTAACAGACGGAAGCACGAGGCTTTTTTATTCGTTATCGTACTTGTATTATTTTGAGTTTCACCAAAATCATGTTGCGGAGATTTGAAAATTGAAGTAGGTAGTTACATAAAATAAAAAGTTACAAATCTGTAAAAATTTACAAGGTTGTGAGATAGTTTTCTACTCTATTATATTTTGTTCGAAGTGTTTTGTTACCAACGCTTTATCAAATCAGGAGTTTTAGTATTTTTTATCTTTGTTATTTTATTCCTCTGACAGGTGATAATGTGTAATTAATTACCGACGAATGTTCATCATAATGACGATTAAATTTTCCTTAATATTATGTAATTAAAGAGATTGATAGTTAAATCAATTATTAATAAATGTTGATAATGAGAAAGCCGCCCTAAAAATTGTACTTGTATATACATATACTGAAAGATAATTGATAATATTAATTTGTCTAATGTCGTTATAGCTCAGTGTCCAGGTGCTCGATTAACTTTATTCGAGCAATCCGAATTTAAAAAGCTCGGCTGTGTCATTTATAGTTCTTATTAATGAAATGTATATCGGCAAAAAGAACTGAAATATTGTTGAAATCATAAATGAAAAAAAAAAGCAATCATTTCGAAGATATGTAAGTCTACCAAAGTAACTCGATGCAATGGAATCGTCTTGGGATCGTCCTGTTATGTCCCACTGTTGGACAAATGTCTTAAGCATTTGTCCAACAGTGGGACATAACAGGCTGTGTTGTTTTACTTAAGGATTTTTTATTACTTTATTAATGCTTTTAAGTATAAAAATCTATATAATAAGAGTTAGAAAAATTCTAACAATTAATTAGTTACAATTAAATTATTAACTAGAATTTGTCGTCGTTGTATGTAACCTAATTCTCTAGTTATCCTCGTATCGATATACCGTAATTCGAATCCTTGTGTAGTAACGAACGATTTTTTCAATTACCGTTAATTGATTATATCCTTTTTTATATTTCTTGGTTTTGGTATAAAACTCATTTATTAATTTTAATTAGGTAATTAATGAATAAGGTAATTTAAAACACCAATTCTCAAAACATTCCGGTTAGTCAATACAAGAAATAAATGGACATTTTAAGTATTTTTTGGACATCAAGCGACATATCTTTCGCTTACTATAATTTATAATTACAGATACATGATTATTTTAAAAAAGAAAACAATCGAAAAGACAGAATCGATTTATTTATTATAATATATTGTGCACTGTTGTCATATGACAAATTATGATGTACCTAACTGTCCCCACAGGGTCTGCCATACTCGTGAAGTTGCTTGAAGAGTCTTGTGGGCTCATAAAAACTCAGTCGTACTAGTTGCTAGTCGTTTACTCAACTACAATTCTATACATTCCAATTGTTTGTATACATATGGTTGTATACATTCAAAATGTTTATTGAAAGAAAATAGTGCACGAAGGTGATATCTCTCACATCGAGTTAATAGTCGAGGACCATCAATGAATTCGTCTAGTTTCTTTGTCATAATTGTGTACTAATATTTCCTCGTTACTGCTATATAGTATTCATGGCAGTTATTTATTCACAAATATTCAGTTGTTGATAATCACTCTAACAAGAATGGGAAATTAGAGATGTCTTCAACATAATTAGAGACGTCTAGGGTTGACTTCAGAATTTCTGTTTGACGAATGCCTGTATGCTAACAATCACTGTATCGGTTTCTGTCTGTGCCTGCGGCGACAGGCTTATCGTATATCACGAGTGACTTCTGACGAGATAAAAAATGGATAGGCCAAGTGAGAGCTTCATCATGTTGATGCTAGATTGACACACACCTATTTTTTACTAATATAATAAGTTCGCCATCGTGCCAATAGAATGTGCTCATTTCAACTTCTTTGTTTATCGAGAGTAGGTTTAGGATTGTCTTGATATAAAGCTGCTACGACGAACTCGTACAGGACAATAATGCAATCTGTTTTAATTTCTTGTATATGTGTACCTTCCGGGTACTTTCCATCCAGTTCATCGGCTTCTTAGCTCAGTGTGTGCGCTTCACCTGAAAGGCTCGGGATCAATTGCGCCCTACAGAAAAAAACAAAAAAAAAATTGTCCACAAGGTTTCTACAAAAAATTCAAACCTTAAGTTTCTTGTGTGTGTGTTTTATGTGAGAAGCTGACCAGCCCCGGAAATGGATCTGGCTAGTTCGTGAAGCCAATAGCTTTTGTATACGAAACACGTGGCATTGTCGCGGCCTACGTCGACGTTTGAGCCTCGTTGCTATCTTATCTGTAACAATACGGTAATTACTTAATACCGATAACGTGCTCGAAAGGAACACACGTCCGTTTCCGTGTGCCTAATGACGCGTACTTGTTCTTTTAATTTTTTTACTCTGAAACTTCACCCCTGAAACGTTTATTTTAGTTGCGCTAACCACATCAACACCTGGCACCATTGCACTACTCACTATACCTGTCTACCCCATTACGGTTAATATACGCGATAGCTTGTACAGTTTATAATAAATACACAAACACTTTATTCTGTAGTAGAGTTACAATAACATCTACTGTTGCAAGAATGGGCAGGCTCGTCCCAATGAGTACTACGGCCTCGTAGAAGCCCAGTGTATAGTGGAAGTAGTGTACATTCGCGTTTCGCCTCTTGAGTGAGGTAATCGGGGTCCATTTCTTTAAACGTTGGCATCTGTCACCACTCTGGTGCTGTAGACCTTCATATGCAACGATAACCACTCAACATCACGGGAACCACTTATTGGCATGCCTGCTTATCACAAAAATGCCTTCTCTCTATAAGTTGTTCAAAAGTAAACGTAAAGCCTATATATGTCCCACTACTGGGCAAAGGCCACTCTCTTTACCGACGGTTTTAGGGTATGCCGTAGATTCTCCACAGTGGGAGCGCCACGCGACCCCACTGTGGAGAATCTTCTAAATATTTTTTTTGTCATTATTTCTAAAACATGCGGGTTAACTCACGATGTTTCCTACACCGCTGAGCACGTGATAAGATGTTTGGGGTAGATTTATTAGTTTATTTTCCAATTTCGCTAGTCTCTGATATATAATCTTGATGTTAACGATGAACATAAGCTGAAAGTATTTGAAAAACTATTTATTAAGCTTAGAAGATTTGTAACTAGACCCTATCTCGAGTACCACTGTCTTACTTAAATCGACACCTTACATTGATTACGCGTGATCAACATTATATACGCGTATGTTTCCCTTTTCTTTTGACCACGGTCAATAAGTTATTTCTCTTAATATCGGTAGCCTTTTTTATGTCGAAGCTGCGGTCAAACATTAAACTTAACCGCGTTATAAAACTGTCAACGAGGGACCGATCGAGCGACGGCCGCCGGATAAAATTTCATTATTTTATATCGCCGAGAAAGTAAAGATTTAACGTGCGTCGGCGTTACGAACTATAACCGTTATTTAAAAGTTAATAAAGTTGTATTCTGTTATTAAAGCTGTATTGTCGTCTTTATAGTGTCGAATGTGGAGGTCGTAAATTGAACTTTTTTCTTTTGTATCGGCTATAGATTAAACTTCATATTTGAGTGCTAAATAAATGTGCTTTTTGTCGTTGATATAGGAAAATAACCATTTAAAAACATTATTGCCCAACAAATATTATCTAAAGAAAAGGAAGCATTTCTCACATATTCTTGTGACCTAAGAGTTCTTTAGACTCTTCGTTATGTGCGGGTAGATAGCTCGTGGAAATTGAATTTAGCTACATTAAAAATATAAAGTAACTTGATTTTGACAACAGGATTAAATTATCGACATCGCAATAAATTATCGTTATAAGTAGATGTTCATTTCGGTAGCGTCGTTGATACGACGTGTGAAAACTGCACCGCCATACTCAGAACTCACCAAACAATCCACACAGTGCTATGAATCACCCGTCAGTTCCAATTGATCTCATAATCGGGTAATAAGTCGGGCCCAAGAGGCGGGTCGATACAAACAAACGTTCGTCGCACCTGTTATAACACGAACGCTTTAAGTAGTCTTGGGGCCCCGTTCCGTTACTACAAATATAGTAAACGAACCATTGACAATTTATTCATCAAGGTTTCTTCTGAATTTATGAAACAGTTATCGCTGTTTGACTGTCGAATATGTTTGTCACAGACAAGTTAACAGTTTCTATGTAATCTCACACGCCATCTATGTAAAAATATAGCTAAAAGGGTAGCGTGAAGTTAATTCAGACAGTGTAAGCTGCGATAGCTTCTAACTTACACTATTCTAGCTTATAATATATAGCTTCCTATATAATATATAATAGCCTATAATAGCTTCTAACAATTATTCGTCTCTCATATCTTTATCGAACGACATCCGCTCCATTCCTTTGGAATTGAGGCTGGTTTGCGAGAGTATTTGTCTCGTCCATTTGGGTAATTAGGCAATATGATATATAGTTAACTGTTATGGAATAATTAGTTAACTGTTATAGGTTCGAAGGTCTATGTTTTCAATAAATAGATCAGTCAGTTCGGAGCATTATATATTATATAAAGGAATCGCCTATGTATATTCATGTACTTCTTTTTTAATTAAGTGAATGTAATCTTTTAAACTTGTTTTTAAATGCCGCTTCCAAATAAATCACCTTCAGCGTACTATCGGTACGTAACTTGATTAATGCTGAAATGGCATGTTGCAAAATGCTTTACGTGTTTAAATTTCAACCGGTAAGGAGTTTTTCAATAAACATTGTGACATCACATTAACATAAACGAATAAAGTCAAAATCTCGTAGTCTTTTCAGTTCAACGGGTGTACAATTCAGCACGATCCTCAACGAGCAGATCTCAAAGCCAAGGTTGACGTAACTAGAATCGATCCGGCCATAGAAATAGACCGTTCCAAAAAGCTGAAAACGGCCTTAAACGAGCGACGCCAGGCACTAGCGCTATTTATAGCAGTGAGGAAACGTCGATGCCTCACACGGCCGCGCTCCGACAATTATCTTCACAAATGCTCCACTAACGAAGGCCGCCATGTTGGATGCGCGATTGGGAAGTGACGCGGCGAATAGGAAGCTAACGACCATCACAATGCGCCGTGGCCGCCCTGCCTTCCCGCCAAATCGGTGCTAATTCATTCACACGAAGCGCCCACCGCGCCGGTGAAAGTTAAGTTAAACAAGCCGTCTTCGGCGCAGCGTTGCCGAACTGTGTGATTTAGCGTCAAATGTGCACGTCACGGCACTCAATCTTCGACGGGACCCGGTGAATGTGTGTATTTTTAGAGTCCAACGTAAGAGAAACTATTATATTCGCAGGGATATCGTTCGGACTTTGATCGGCTTTATTATTGCTTTCCAATTTAGCGGTATGACGATGTATAACAAACGATATAGGCGTGAATAATGTAAATAGAAATAAATTTCCATGACATTCATGCCGATAATGTCCGCTGAGATATCACGCGTGCTTAAAAATTATTGCAATGTTGTGACCGAAGACCGAATACAGTTGTTAAATTACACTTGATCCATGCGTAATAAATTATATTTTATTACTGTAGTACCGATAACCTATGGGGAGGAAAGGTTCTCGAGTGGCAGCCTCGTACTTGTAATCTCAGTGTAGGACGACTCCCGCTAGATGGACTGTGTCGACCTGTGCAAATGTGCTGAAAGTCGATGGACGCTAGTGGTTCAGGATCGTGCTTCGTGGCAGTCAGTGGGGCAAGCCTATCTTCAGCAGTCAAGTCTAACGGGCTGAAATGATGACTTTAGTTTTCAGTTTAGCGAAAATTATGAACTGTTCTGTTAACGCCCTAAGCGTTATTCAAAGTGCATGAATACCCGTTCCTCGTGTGTACCGTGTTAATTATTATTATTATGCGCCCTGACGGAGGTAATTGCCGTTAAGGCATTATCCCGATGGCTTAACAACTCAATATCGCGGTCTTGGAAACGTAATAAGTACAAGCTTTCGTGCTGCCAAGGGTCAGTGGGACAGGCGAGCATCGTGTTTGTTTAATACGAAAATTAACTTCGCCCGGACAGGTTCTTAATGCTTTCGTTGCGGCGCCGCGACGCTGACGCGAACGTACCTCGCCGTGTGCCTTGAAGCGGCTCTACTCGCGTGCGCACATTTTAGTACTTTGGCACACTTTTTAAGTTCAACGAGTTAACGCACTTTTAATTTCCAACTTTCGACACCTCTTAGTATCGCTCGCGTGGAACGGTCCCAAATAAGGGGCAATCGAAATTCGACCGATTCGTGCACGACCGCCGATTCGTTCGGCCGGGCCGTCGAGCTCCCTAAAAGGCGTCATAAATCAATCGGACAAACGAGTGGCGTTTGCCGCGTAAACATTGACCGGCCCGTAACGCCGGCGCAGACGTAGGGTGTGAAGTGTGGGGTCGCCGCTTAGCACTCCGATCCGATACGTTAGACGCTACGTGGATGCGATAGTTAAAAATGAAATGAAGAGATACGTTCCATTAAAGGATGGCTAGTGCAAGCGGAGCCGTCGTACCGTTCTGCTCTCAACCGGTGGCATACCGCGCGACGGAAGCCAGCGGTTCCCTTTACACTGGTCCGATGATACCTGTGGTGTTGTATAAAAAGGAGTGCGTGAGGAATGCGCCGGCGCAATCGTCAGGTGCAACGGCCGCGGGCCCCGCCCCTGACGTATTTTTGTTTGCCTCTAATGTCGTATCGCTGGGGTGGAGTTGGTGAGTTTTGTTCCGTGATATCTTTAGCGGACACAAACGCATCAGTCTAGTCTAAATACGAACCGAGCGACAACTGCATTAAATTTTAACGTGACATACTAAGATGACAACATTTTTCAACTCTTATTTTTTGAACGGTTTTAAAAAAACAAATTGTTTTACATATGCACCTACTATAGTTTTGGAAAAGGTAAATTTTGTAAACGTGTAAATTTTGTCATTGTTCCTTTGGTTAAATTTCGCAACCCAAACCTTTTTGAATTATAACCCTTACGAGGTAGACAGATATGTTTAACATTATATTACGCCATATAAGTCATCGAGCTGACTTTGTCTCAAAGGAGACAGATAGTTGCTTAGTGATAGTTGCCTAGTGTTATGCGTGAAATACAACACTGGGGTTAATGCAAGCCATTGACATTAGAACCCGCAACCTTAATCGCTAGTCCGAGTACACGCACTAATACCTAATAAATAATTATCTTCAGTAACCATATCTACAGATAGAATATTGAAGCTGGCCGTATAAGCGACATCATCCGATAGATATGGAAAGACGAGCTGTTTATTGAGACAACTCCGAGCTGTCAGACGTCAACCGACACCTGAGGACCGTTAGCAAAACAATTGATCGCCGGCGTTAAACAGCGACGCTATGTAGAATGTGGGTCGCGGTACAGAAAGCGACACCGGATAGCGTGAACAATTAAAGTCAATAACGCGTCTACGACTTCGCTTCGAGCGATTCTCGACACATAAGGACTACCTTCGCTGTAGACGCTACAAAAATCGTGTAGTACAATATGATAGAAGCAACAACACCTCATCGCAAGGAGTTTTAAAAACAAAATGGAAGGTAACTTCACAATATTCACGTACGAATTGTATACAATAGATCAAAGCCAAAATCGTATTATTTCATTTTAAGCGAATATAAGCATTATTTACGTACGTGACTATAGACAAGTTTAGACAAACATGCAAGAAATGCAGCGGTCATTACGACTTTTATCTTTTACTGCTGTATGCTGTACTACATATATTAAAAAATAAACTTGAAAGAGAATAAAACATTTTCTTTACCAAAAAACGAAACCGAACTTGAAATATCTCGACCACTATATTTTCCATTTTATTTTGAGAAGCTCCTTGACGTATCTCCGGAGTCCTAGGTCCAATTTCAATATGACCATGATGGGACCATATGGGATCTAAATCGAACCCAAAACATAGACAATTTTTAAACTGTTCATAAACGGTATATATATATGTAAACTTTTATTTAATTGTATTGCATTATGTATATATTTATGTGTAACTAGTATAATATTTATATTTTAAATGTTTGTACCTACCTCAAAATCCCGGTACCACCCTAAGGTTGACTGGTAGAAAATGCTGTCAGCATTAAGTCCGCTTATGTGCATGAAGTCTTAAAATAAATAAATAAAAGACTGTTCCGAGGTAACAAACATAAAAAATTAAATACACACAAATGAATTAAGAATCTCTTGTTTCTTCGAAGTCGGTTAAAAAATCTTTATTCGGTCATGCAAACAAAATGTGCTCGCGACAACTGTGACAGTTGTGAGTTGACGATCGTCGCCGTCCTCCAAGTGAGGGTCGCTAATTTGTACCGTAAACACTCGCATTAGCTAATACCCGTGTATGGCGCTGGAAACGGTGCCTCGTAAGCCGATAGCTGGGTTGTGGCGTGTGGCGATACTTTATCTCGGTGGGCTGCTAGCGGAGAGCGGGCTATTCAATACATACCTCAGTTAACTACCAAGATCTGGACCAACGATTAGCTAATGTTGATTTTTAACACGACTACGGCGGCGTTCATGGCTAATGTTTATGTTAGCAATGTAGAGTCACTCAGACGCTATTCGTGGCGCGTTCTTCTAGATGCATCAAGTGTACCTTCTTTAATCATTATAAATTTCATGTTGATTTCTTGGTTTTACGCAAATCTTATACATATGAATAAACGAACATTATAAATTTGTCAGTTTTACTTTTTTACTGGAGAAAGTTTACTATTGTCTGTAAACCGTTCTGCAACGACTGAATAAGTATTGAAGTTAGAGCATTTTTTTGATTTTCGCCGCTGCGGGAATCCAACTTACGTATTTTTTTATGTGAAAAGTTGCCAAACGAGCAGACGGTTCACCTTATGTTAAGTGAACACCGCCGCCCATGGACATCTGCTACACCCGAGGGTTTGTAGATGCGTCGACAACCTTTTTGGAAATTGGACTCACGTTTTCCGGATTGGCGCACTTTTCGACCTTTTCTTTACAAATTTTAATGTTTCAATTTAAGTGTAGAGTTTGGCAGCAATAAAAGTTGAGATTTTCATAGAGGTGAGAGTGGTTAAAAATACGTAAACCGCTATAAGTAATGTCAACAAGGTAAATTGTGCAAACATTGTTCGGGTATATACGATACGGCGATAAAGCTCGAGCTATCGCCCAGACGGCGAGCGGCCCTTGATCCACTTCGCGGTGGATGTAGGTAACGGAGAATTCAAGCCTAAGATAAGCGTGAACTTGCCGCGTTATTTCCATTGCCTACGTGGAATATCAACATGTCTGACCGCGAACAGTAGACATAAGCACTATACCCACTCTGAGAAACGGACAAGCAGTCTTCATTTTACACTTTTACGGGCGAAGGTGGCAAACTAACAGCGGTTATGATGGTGAGTTACCACCAACACGCTGCAAATTGTCGTAGGGCCGTACAGCAACAGCTGTTGGGCGAATGAGGAATTACTACAGTCCCACAGGAAGTATTATACTTGTGCGTTTTATCTGTCGAGTGAGTTTAAAAGTTCGTCGTGGTATTGTCGCGGACTAGGCGACGCATCCTGGCGTGGCGTTTTACCGTTAACACTGCAAACACCCAGATCATTAAACATTATCTATACACGTCATTCAAATTACCGAAGTCTATCGCTCAGCAACTACGAAAACCGAGACATAATAAACCAAATGCATACACCAAACGTTGGACACGGCACTTTAATTGGATTCGAAAATTTTCTCAGTGCCGTTTGGCCGATACGATGAAAGTTTTGTCGTTTTTCGTATTAGACTTACTGGATGGTGAACGCAAAATTGACGCCTTTGACCTTTCGGTGTCCTTTTATGAGCCCGACACGTGAGCCAGTGTCTCGGTGACGTAATCGACTAACGCCGCCGGAAAATTTGAATCTCGCACACTGCGCCGTCACGTCTCTGACTAACAGAACGCAATGTTAGTCCTGATAATCTCTTTCGCTATGCGACGTGACTGCGCTATCGTAGAGGAGAGTTTTTTTTGTACAAATAAACGTAAGAACTCACGTCTGTTATGTGGATCTTAGTGAATTTCTTTAGGGGCATTCGACATTAGAGATTTAGACTACGTCGTTGTATTGGTACAATTAACGATTAAATGCTTTGCAAAATATATTTTTAAAATTATCATGACTACTACTTTTTACCCGACTGCCTAAGGGGGATAATGTTTACCTTTGAGGCAGTCTGGTTTTAGATTCATTTAATTATATACAGCGTGTCGTTACCATCGCGACAATAAATGAACTCACATATAGGGGATAACTTTTTAAAGTTGTATTAAACATTTAAATTCTTTAAACATCAATATTTACAGACTTATTAAAATTTTCAAATCAAAGAATTTTAGAACACCCTTACCTATAAAAGCGTAACGTAAAGTTCATTTGTAAAGATCACAAAAGCATATGAATGGGTTGAATGAATTTAAAAGAGACAAAACATACTGTTAGAAAGAGAGGCTTGTAATACGACGCTGTGGCGCGAGTTGTATAGGATGTTACAAATTTTGTTTCTTTTTTACTTAGTTTGTTTGAAAAATATTTTTTTTAAATTATGGATTTTGTTTAACGTTAATATTTTTTTATGATTATTGGCAAGTAGCGTTATGCGTGTGTTCATTTATTGTCGCGATGGTAACGACACGCTGTATGTTTGTTTATATACAATATTCTGTAATACGATACGTCAGGGCAATTACTTAATAAATTATAAAAGTTATTGAGCTCAATTTTAGTCCATATAAGTTCGTTTTATTGTAAGCAAAGTCACATGAATTGAGCCAACTCTGAAAATCTAAACCGTTGTTTGACAACGGTTGACACGCATTTTATAGCTAGCTGTTCTTTAACTATTAAGGGGACACTCAACAAAATCCTATTATCCGACCATACGCTGACAATCGCAACATTCGCTGTTCAAATCAGTTACATCGGTCAATAATCATAATTACTATTGTAACTGATTTGAACAACGATTGTTTATAATTGCAGACAAATGACATTCCTGAGCATATGAATATATATGACTAGGTTGCTGTCACTAACTCTTTTGGAGCGGTCCTCACTTTCGGATTTCACGGACATGAAATAAATACCCTAAACGACATATAAACATCGCCTACTACGAGAATTTTTACTTATGGCAAGCTCACCCTCGACTGCAAAATCTTCTTATTTTAATAGGCATGATAGCGATAGGTATATGACATCGGCTCCATAATACTACCGTCAAAATTCTATCTCCAGTAACCAAATCTATCTGTAGATTTAATATTGAAACCATCAGTGCAATCCCAAAGGTGGCGGGTAATGACTGACAACCCTACACAGATGCTGTAGGGATGCCTGTGCCTTGAATGTAGCTTACATTCAGAGAAACTGCCGAGTATCGATTATTTACTAATAACTTACGTATAACACCGGCCAAATGCGAGTCGGGCCAGCACGAAGGGTGCCGTACCATTATCTATAATAAAGTAATTGGTAAGTAACTATAGGTTGTCTAGCAACCGCCTTGTGTTTGCTTTATGGGAGCTCGCTTAAATATTTTTTATTTTATTCTCTTTTTTAGTATTTGTTGTTATAGCGGCAACATAAATACATTATCTGTGAAAATTTCAACTGTCTAACTATCACGGCTTAACTATTATCCTGGTGACGGATTGACAGATAGGCAGACAGAGAGCGGAGTTTTAGTAATAGGGTTTACGTTTAGGGTTTTACCCTTTGGGTACGGAACCTTAAAAGCGGTTTTCGGACGGTACGCACCTGACTCGCGTGAACTTTACGCGCTGAATGGTGGCTACGTTGCACATGACTGGTTTTGCTATTTTTTATTCATCCGCGCTATCCGTCCAACGTTTTATGAGTCACGATGCGTTTTATGAGCTTACATATTCATGATCCAGGCGACGGTATCGCCGATAGTGGCTCTGAGATAGCCGGCCCTCTAATTAAAACTTTAAAGTTTCGTTAGGCTCTCCGTTCGTGACGGTTGAAATGTAGGTGGCGCTGCCTTCAGAGACACGAGGTAAGTTCACGGTCGGCGAGTTTTGCCGGCGTGATTTTGTTTCACGACCGTCGTTTGAACTTTTGTCAGTATATTGTTGGATATAGTACGGAAAGGCTGCCGAAGTTCGCTTCCAGTACTTAACAGCCGATTATCCAGTACATCTCTCATCACGTGGCGGATTCTTTCAGTGTAAAAAAAAAACAGTTCGCGTGATATCTTGATATCTTTTTCTCGCCTCGAATGAATTATGAATTCATCATCATGTTCATAAGGTTTTGCGAGATACATTTTAAGCAAAAACATTTGAATGCGTTCACGTTTCAGTTAAAGTACCTACTTAATGGATTTTATTAAACGTATGTTTTGTTAAAAAGCGTTTGTGTTAAACGCTACAGATGTTGAACCCGTGGGCGTATGATAGAGTGCTGTCTGCGCATGAGATATCCGAAAAACGGGAACATCGCGTGTGTACATTAAATCATTATGTTAACATTGCTGCCGAGAGTTACCAACTAGCGTTGGCTGAACGCGACCAACGGCGTCTGGTTCCAGGCGGCTGGTCGGACGCGGACCGTTAAAATATGCGGCCAATAAAATCGTTGCGGACGGTGATTTATCGGCTGCGTGCTTGCAACGCGCCAATGCGATCGCAGGGCGCTTGTAAAGTCGATAATCCCGACGGTGCGACCCCAGCTTGGTGCGGTGACATTCGCCCCGGCGGTGCACCTGATATTTAGTGAATATCGCCTCCCTCCATACCTGAATATCGTGGCGATAACGCTTGCGTAGACAACATCCTCTGCGTCAGATGAAGCTTTAATAGTCTCGGGACTGAAAGCAAAAACATCAGTTAATACAAGTACAAGACAACATTCACAATACGAAATGCCAATGTACATATACTTCCAATTCACGCTCATCTCGTGTGTGCTTCCCCCGGGAGAAGGCATATTAGAGAAACAGAAGCATATGCAGTTGTACGTCTAGACATTTAGCCGTGGGGCTATATATACGACAGCAACATTCTATGTGCCGTTATCCCTAACGTTTGGTTCGGTGATCCGCCCATTCGTCACTACCTGCGTATCACTCGCTGAAACATGGCTCAATAATTATTGTATGTGATTGTAACTTATCGTCTTGGATGATCAACAAGATGAAGGAAAGATTTTTGTTTAATTTCCTGAAAACTTGATGTCACTGTTTAGCTACACCCCAATGATTGAAACGCATTCGCCCTAGTGATGCTTCTAAAACGAACGTTAAATTTATTGACAGAGAACGTTTTACAAGCTATTCGCGCCTACAAAACGATGATTTTCATGTCTCCGCCCCGACCATGGGCAGACCAACCAGGCCTGTCTTCAAACTTCCTTATTCACATACGAGGCCCTTGCTTATTTCAACATTCCGCTCCGAAACCGAAAGAGTTAACTGATATTTACGCGTCGCTTGTTCTGCGCCATTTCGAACGTACCGACGGCACTATGAGCCACTGCAATGTAGCGTGTTTGCTAACTTGCATTTCGTAACTGAAAATTATTTATACACTCAACACCGAAGGAAATCGGAGCAGCGAGAAAGCTGTCATAGAGGGGCATGCATTACGCTATTAATCGAATTTTAGCAAGCAACAAATACAATATACTTTACGGCTGCCTTACGTGAGATATCCATCGTTAACAGTCCGATGCATAATGTGTTCGTGAGATATCGGCTTGTAAAGAATGGCCGCTGCATTCTCGTCGTCAAACCAGCACGCGCACGAACATGGATACATTGTTTTCTTTAATTGACGTTTATATGTAGCAACTCGTAAAAGACAAACTTTTTCACATCAATTTGATCTCTTATTTCCTTTTTAATATAAGTTTATATTTTATATTATATATCTCACTTATACGAGTGTTATTATATAGTATAATATCTTTTATGGTTTCTGCGAATACTCCACACTATTAAATAAAATTAATACTACGGCATTATTCGCGTCTAACAACAATATAACAGTTAATTTCATAACAATATTACATTCTAATACATTCGCTTTAGCGATACTAACAGCAAATTATTCATTAGGCGCTTTGCACGATTTCACTTAAACCAATGTCGTGTTGATGATAATTCCTTATTCGTACACGAATCATTCCGTTGCTACTCCATATGACTAAGCAATAAGAAGTGATATTATAATCATCAGAATCCTTGTAAACACAACCGAAGATAAATATTTAAACCATCCGAAAGATGTCAAGATGACAATGGGAGTTCTCTAAACTACAAAAAAATATATTTTACTTAAAATTGCATAAAACGACAGTGGTGCCGATATCACATCTCATTTTCTCTCTTGGTCAATTAACTCTTTTGCCGTAGAGTCGTTCCATCGCGTTTTTATCGTTTGCAACGCATCTAGCGAATAATAAGAGACGTTATAATTACATTCGCCTCAGCAATAAAGAGCTTAACGACACCGGGAAATAAACGGGCTCAGGGAAGCGGTCTCGCCGGGGATGGGAGACGAGCGTGTAAGGCGGTAATTGAGGCCGGGCTACGCGCATTAACATCTACACTTTCGAAATTGAATCCACTCTTAAGCCCGTAATAAAATGGATGAAAATTGTCTACAATTACGGCCGCGATCTGGTCGGACCGCGCTGTGGCGCCGCGGCCCGTTCCTGAAGACCACGCGAATGTTTAATTAAGTAGTAATTTACTGCTAACTGGTACAGTGCGTGGAGTTAGCCTTAGTTCTCGGTCGGGTACTGCCCGCGGCGCTCGAGAGCTGCCCAGTCTTGGCCATTGATTGATAGCAGCCTGCCCACCCGATCGGAGACGAGGAAGCTTTTCAAAGAGACATTTTTTCACCTACGCCACTCCGTACCTCGTTCCGGTTACATTTTTATTAACACACATACGGTCTAATATAAATTCGCCCCGGGCGATCGGCGCAATTTACAAATCGATTAAAGCACGTACTGCCCGCTAAAAAAATGACACTCCTTGATTTAATACGACATACGAAACTAGGCGAGTCGCTTTCGTCCGTTTGAGCGCTGCTCCTTTCAACATGAATATGAAATTTGTTATACAAAAATGAAAAAGAAGGAAAAAAGGAGAAGAGAAGAAGACGGAATGAGGATCACTCATAACCTTTTGTAGCAGGTGTGTATATAACAAGCGGTTATATCCGATGAACTGAAAGTCATACTGAAGCGAGACTCTACGCTGCGGTTGGTAATTCGTCGATACTAAATTCATTATAACAACAGCCACAAGAATTCATTATAATCCATTTGCTGGCGAGACATTTTTGACACTGTAATAAGCTCTCCAACCCAAAGACATCTCATTATTACGATCGTATTTGGCCCTGTGGAGTTTATAATATCCACACAATATTAGTGTAATTACATTTACGTTAATGGGTGCAAAACGGTACAGCAATTTACAATCAAGCGTGACGATAATGGTTTTTTTAATTGTTTTTACGACCGTTTAAGTCCGCTTCGGAGCTTTATTAGCCGTGTCGTCCAGATATCGCGGCCCACGGTAACGGCACGTTTTATCGGAAATGGATGCGACCAATTTGTATTTATATTGTTTGTTTATTAATAACGGTCGCTGACGCCGCTCGCCTCAATAATGAGCCGCGGTTAACTATTACATTTTCCGCTTCAAACCGCACACCAAAGGCGCAATGAAAATATATTATGTACTTCTTGTCCCTTGTTAGTAACCATTTAAAGTGGCACGTAAATTAACTTCTGAGTGACTATCAACATGGTTTCTTTGCGAAGCGTTCCACGACTACCAACTTAATGTTCTTTGTCGAAAGAGTTTTAACCGAACTAAGTAATGGCAATGAGGTTGATGCCGTTTACACCGACTTTAGCAAGGCCTTTGACAAAGTGGACCATAAAATATTACTGGCTAAACTTAAAAACTTTTTTTTTATTGATGGATGTCTTTTGAGATGGTTTGAGTCCTATTTAGAAAATAGAGTAATGAGGGTTGTTGTAAACGGATTTGTATCTCACATATTTCAAGCTACCTCTGGAGTTCCTCAGGGTTCAGTCCTGGGTCCAATTTTATTTTGTTTGTTTATAGATGACATAAAACATGTATTAAATAACAGTAGGTTTGTATTATATGCCGATGATCTGAATTTTTTTAGAACCGTTAAGTGCACGGAGGATCAGTTACTATTACAGAGGGATATTAACAATCTTTGTAAATGGTGTGAATGTAATAAGATGGAACTCAATGTAAAAAAATGTCACCACATAAAATTTTCAAGGAAATATAAAAAATTCGAAACTGATTACTATATTACAAATACTCGTCTTAATCAAGTAAAATATGTTAAAGATTTAGGCATAAACATTGATTCTGAAATGAGATTCACACGTCATATTGACATCACAATAAATAAGTGTAATAGATTAATAGCATTCATCTCTCGTAACACTACAGAATTTAAGTCCATACCAGCTTTAAAGGCCCTCTATTTTGCGTTGATCTGTAGCAATATAGACTACTGTTCCTTTGTTTGGTATCCAAGTTATCAAAACAATATACAACGTATAGAAAAGGTACAAAAAAAAGAATGTTAGCTAGACTTAGTTACATCGAAGGGACGTATCATACTTTTAATAGCTATAAGAAAAGACTCGAGCATTACCATATGATAACTTTAGAAAGGCGTAAGGATGTATTAAGTATAACTTTCTAGCATAAGCTCTTAAGTTTTAAAATTGACTGTCGGTCTCTCTTACTTGATATCGATATCACTGTTCCAAGAATTAGTGCACGTCTACATAACTACAAACCGTTTCATATTAAAAAGAGTCGTAATGAATATGGCAGAAACACACCTTTATCATCTTTGTTGAATGCATTCAATTCAACATTTCAAAATTGTGATGTGGATATCCATTTTGATAGCTTAAATATTTTAAAGAGGAAGGTGCTAACACATTACACAGCCCAATAATTTTTTAATTTTAAAAGTTTTTTTTTCCTTCCTCTCTTTTTTATATTTATACATTATATAAGTTAGGTTTTTTTTTTTTGTTTGTTCTAATTTTATTATTTTATTGTAGTGATAGTTTTATAGGTTACTGTTCTCCTTAAAGGAAGACTTTTCTTAAATGTTGTGTTTACCTTTAATTTAAATGCATATATACAATGTTTAAGGGCACCTCATAATAATTGTTTCTATATGTATTTAGTTGGTAAGCCTTGTTAAATAAATAAATAAATAAATAAACTTCTAATCCATTTAACATTTTAGTTATACTTCGCGTTTGGAAAAAAATTATAAATAAAAAGATCTGTAATTAAAAGTGCTTTATTTAAACCGTTATGAATTGCATTTAATGTCTTTTTCACAAACAAAGAGTATTGGTACAGGGGATAAAAGTTACACCTGTGCGTTCCGTGGGAGATCCCGGAGTCCCTCCAAACGTACAGAGGGTGGCCACCGAGGGGGTTTTAGTGGGTAAGAACCTCACATAACCCTGTCATGTAACGTGACAGGGTATCTTTGGAAGATTTCCCCCCCGATACCAAAAAATTTTTCTTTTGTTACGCTAAAGTAGTATAACTTCTTACGTGCGTACAACACATACTTTTTATCGGCTTCACGGTGACGAAGAGCAGTTCGCGTAGTCAGGACGATGACGGTATCCCATCGATTTAACAGACCCACATAGCTGTTAACCTGCGTAAGATATTTCCTATCATCCTATTGAGTACACTCAAACGTCTCATTTTTCCTCAGTTTTCGTTGTCAGATTTAATTAACGGTTTGATTAGAATTGCAATATTGTCGAATAATAATAAATTTTCGTTTCGTAATCAATGCAGACGGATATAACGCGTAGATTGCGTTTCGGCGAAAAATTTCCAGTAATAATCGATTCGCCGTTATCCTTCATGAAAGTCATTTCGATAAGATATGCGCTTATATGCGTCCATATGTGTACGATATTTTTTGATAAAAATAATGCAAATATCCTCGACGATACGAGGTTAAAACTGCTACGTGAACAGATACCTGAAAACGTCCGTCGCATCTGTCCCCTGACTGTTAAAGTCGTTTAAAGCGACGGTTTTAGTTTATTGTGAGCGATAAGCCAACATCCTGCGATTGCAGGGACACAGCTCTGATAAAGGTCTTTTAAGACCCTTTACTAGTCCGCAACATTACATATTTAGTTTCTTGTTTCTTGCATATTTATTGGTATAAACGTGAATGCTTTCCGTACACACGTTCCGAAGGCGTGCCGCTCGTGAGCGTTCGTGTAATTTGAATTCTATAATAAGTAACGAACCTTCTTAATGCATTAACGCCATTAATTTTCAACAACAGCCTCTGTGTCACTGGACGCATTGCGAAGACCACTTTGCGTAGGCAATTCAAGTGCAAGGCGGTCGAACATTACCATACCACAATGTTGTGGCCGTTCATTCGAACATATTAATTTGCTATCGACTGCGGACAGTGTAAAAATAAGAGACCGCAGATCGGCCGCGGGCAAACTTACTACGTACCATAAATTGGTAAAAAGGTTTGTTTGTAATTAATTGTTTAAGTACTTAACCGAGTTCGAAATTTTTTCAACAGTGAAAAACTTTAATATATAGCCCATGAGTAACATAGTTGTTTTATTAAAATATTCATTTTATTGCATATCTCTATATACTTAACTAGCTGTCCCCCGATTCGCTGGGTCATAACATCTTCTTTAAGTCAAAAAAATATAAAAGTTCCCTATAAGTAATCACCAACATGTCATATACTAAGACCTTCTTCGAAACAGTAGTTTTCGCAGTATAACCGAACAGAAAAACCGTCTCTCCGTTTATTACTAAACATTATATAAATGTTGATTGTTTTACTGGAAGAAAAAACTAAAACACTGGCTAATTTCATGTATTTAATTCGTTACATTTTAAGTATTGAAATTGCCAAACTGGCATCATAATATTAACTTATATGGTGACAAGTATTAATTGCGTATATAAATAAGTTTTTTCCGTCTGCGCGATGCCGGGGCGCGCAGGCTAGCTTCTTAATAAAGCAGTAAAGCGTCCAATGAATCGGTCTAGACTGATGTGATTGTGGCCATTAGCCCCTATTAATGCGAAAGAGTACTAGATCGTTCTAATTAGAGCGAGTGCGCGGCGGTGCCATTAGCATAATAGTTTAATCAGAGAATGTGGTGCCTAGGAAATTGCCGATTGTGATGTGTGGAGTAGAAATAGTGGCCGTTGGCAACTCAATGTGTTTCTAAACGCCCCTCGCTACAAATTGGCCGTAATTCCCTCCATTGCCTCCCGATCGGTTTTAATTTCGCTACGATAATTTGTTACTTGTACCACGTCGTCTTTTACAGTGAAACGATTCAGTTAAAAGTGCTTTACACCTTTTTAACTAAGTCCAGTTCAATTTATGAATAGAATTGGTTGAAAAAGATTTAACATCACGCTCGAAGTTTCGAATTCTTAATAATTATTATAAAGAATGAACAAAAAATTTTCCACGATGAATTAATCGCACGCTAAATAACTATTTGTGATGATATAAATGTCTCTGTTTACAAATTACAATGTATCATATAATGTGCGAGACGATACATTGAAATAAAAAAAATAATAAACAATGTTGATGACAGTTAAATAGTGACAATATTGCCAGTAGTTGAAGACAGTGTTGACATTCTAACTAGTCTTATTGTTTGTACAATAACAGATAGTCTGTATGCAAAACAGTTATTGGACGTACGGAACATTGTAATTTATCATATATGCTATATTTTATTGGTTCTGTTCTTTAATTATTTCTTTAATAAGGCTGTAACTATAACAAAAATTGTTGCTCTGTATGCCTTCGTTCTTAGCGTGTTTTCTTAAGTTCTGTCGTAAATAAAACTGTAAAGAGGACGAGTATTTGTCTCTTGTCTTCGAAATAAGAATGGCGACAAGAACTTATTGTGATTTGTTTCACTCCTAATATCAGATGTTCCATCTCCATTTCACATTTCGGTTTGACTTGTATGTTCTATGTGTAGTTAGAATAATAAAACAGTACTCGACGTTTCTGCCTAGTAATAAGATCAATTCAATATTGTCGATTCCCTAAGTTACGTTGCTAACGACAAATAATAGCAACCGCTGCGTCAGCTGTCCTTGTTTTACGATTTAGGTAAGTTGAGTATTATTACTAACGTTTTGTTTACGCTATTGTATTCTATTTGTTTCGTCTGTACATATGAGTAATTAATGTTTATTGTATCACTGCGTATTGGCATTCCTTTGAAATCCTTTTTTTTATTATCTCGAACATTGTTACATAAAACTAATTTATGGCAAATTTTTCACATTTAATCTTGGTTTTGATCAGACACTTCAATAATTAATTCTTTTAATAATTTTTGAATTTTAATTATCTTGAGCGAAGTGTGTATACTTAATGGCATTCCGAATTAACTAAGACATAACCGTTGCTTGTTTTCGCGTGAAATACAAGAAATGTTATAGATATTCAAACTTTTTCTTGACCGCCGAGCACGCAGCGAACTCGGAGCTTAAAATTGTGATTAACGGTTTCGCTGGTACCGGCAACGGGATTTGAACTCGGGTTACTACTGAATTCGAAAATCAAATCGAAACTAGCCAACTGTATCTTTAAATATCTTATGTACGCAGCCTAGTGCAGTGTCTAGTAGTTTAACAACCGGGCACCACAAACAAAATTTAATTGCGTCGTTCGGCTTACGTTAACATAAAATTGATCGCAGCTTAAGGCGTAGATCTGTCCGAACGCACTGATAGCTTTGACATCGGTTTTCCTGTTCGAGCCGAATGTTAAACTATTGTCGGGCAACGGTGTCTGTCCGCTCCGCGGGGACGGACAATGCACCTAAAGCTAACCGGAGCAAGGTCGCGAATTGTTCGCGAAGTGTTTTGTCGCGCGGCAAGTGTTTGCGGTCGAAGTGAGCCGGTCTACACACACAGCGATTATGATGGATTGGCCGCTGTGCGTGGGCTCTGCGGGCGTCGAGTATTCTAATTCCCAGTGCACCGGGGAGGCACCGCTGGCGACGCTGGCAACACTTGATTGTTCGCGAGTTCTAACGCTAACAATTTCATTGCGCTAAAATTGTGTACCTTGTATAAACAGCGGTAGGGCCACGCAACAGTCTTCACTGTTGCACGAATGGGCAGGTCCGTCTGGGTCAGTACCGCGACCTCACAGAAGACCGGCGTGAAATGGGAGTGTATAAAACTTCTGCGTTTCGTCTGGTGAGTTAGGCAGCCGGGGCCCGATGATGAAAGGAAATCTATGTACTGTTACTACTGAAACTATTTTACTCCAGCTCTTTTTAATTGCTTTGCATATATACGGAAGGCACATTAGACGCTGTGCAAGCAATACATTATGACGGGGATGCTTTCCCTAAAAGTAATATTACCGTTGGATAAGAAGTAGGTAAAAAGCAAACTAAAGAAAAGCCAATGCCCCTTCACGAGAGCGCGAGAAGATCTCAGGCATGTAACCAACACGGACTTTTAAAATTAAATGAAATCATTATTGTCCATTACCTACTATTTTATATAAGGTAAGAACTACTACTTTATATGAAGTTCTTTAGTTTGACTTATTCTTAGTATTCAGTAAAAAATGATTATTTAAAATTGATTATTACTGTTCTTACGTTTGATTTTTCTTCAGTTCTTCTTGGTGTGTTTTCTAAGTACAGTTGCACACAATATACGTTTATCGAGTTTTACCAAGAACAGCCGAGACTGTATCTTACAACTTTGGCGCAAACATCCTCCGAGCAAATAAACGCAGCAGTTCCACAACGGGACGAAACAATGAGAGGCAAACACGATCGTTGCCTGGAAATCTTTTACAATGGTGTTGACAGGCGACGTGACGAAATACGATCCCGACGCATCCAAACATTGTGCGGAACAATGGCGGCCGGTTCCCGCGCTTTTGCGGACGGTCACAGACGACGAATTGCAGGCGCGTTTCGCAACGTGCGAAGATTGAAAGGGGCTGTGCTCTTCACCCGTGAATAGGTTATCTGTTACTCAATCAGGCCCCCTAAATTTCTCTGTATAAATCCATCATATCATATTGTAAATATTTATTGTGCAATATAATAAATAAATAAATATTATCTGTTATTCAATCAGGCCCCCTTAAAATTTCCCTTCTGTGTATAAATTCACGATATCACATTTATTATAAATATTATTCCATGATATAGCATATTAACAGTATTCATTATTTGCAATTTATATCAAGACAGTGTTTTAACTGTAATAAAGCTTAAAAGTAAAGTAGACGTTTTCAATAAAACGTGACAATAAAATCAACCGACAACCTGTCCATAAAACATTTAAAAACGTAATGGATTATTGCCAGCTCTAATTACATTATGAGTCACTAACGGAACGTGAATGGAACGACGAAACTAAAACGATATCTTAAGTACTAAATAAGAAATAAAACCTTTTAGTTATTAGTTACTTCCTTCATAACTCTAATTGCCGTGACACTATAGCCATTAAAAATAATAAACGAATTTTAACTCAAGAGGATAAGAGATAAAACTCTTATTTGATTAACGGTTAATGAGGTAAGAGCCTCGTTTTCCGGGTATTGGGCCGTTCGACGATAGACACAGTTATCTTTCTCGAAGTTCACATAAAATGTGACTGTTTCAGGTAATTATCTGATAAGGCCAGTCGCTTATCTGTCGGCTCTACTAATTAAGATGTACAAATACATAAGCTTAGAGTTTTGTGGACGTTAAGTCGTAGAGCGATTAACTTACGTAAACATGTATTTGTTAAACGGTCGATATATTTTTTAATTCTTTTTTGTATTTAGGTCGACGGAGAGAAATATGTAATATATTTTATCCATCGAAAACGACTCATGATAAGGAAACCACCACATCAGGTACAAAAGAGTTGACGTTTTAGCTCTTGAGTAATTTGAAACTAGGAAATCGAAAAATTCTTTCTTACCTGTTTTGCTATTTCAACCGACTCTATATCGAGTCCGTCTTCAGCGACCACGCCACTGCAGTTAGTCGTTTCATCATCTCTAAATTGCCTTTAGTATATTATATAAGAAAAGCAAGAAAGAAAATACATTTATTTACCAAAAAAGACATGTGTATCGTTAGATTAGATAATGGCTGCGTCATTTATTGTTATGTTTCTGTTTCTATTTAATCACCGTTTTAAACAGAAACATCCAACTTTTTAACTGGGAGCTCGGACTGTTATTATACCTCTTAACGATCGTCTCTGATCTTATCAATGTATATTCACTCCGTTAGTGTGTTTAAATTCTAACTGTTAATTAAATGAATCTACGAGCCGTGAGTATATTTCTTAATTGCACAGTCTCAAATGACACAACCTGTTAGGACGCCGCCGCTGTTTATTAAAACTTTCAACCCTTTACTTAAGCGGTAACAGCAGATAAGAAATCGTAGCGACGGAACGATGAACTAGGAGAAATTTCGTAGAACTCTTATCTCGGGTAGGGTTAAATTAATTGCTGTGGCAAAGCGCGTACCGAGTTTCTGATATTTGATAAAAGCGCGGCCGCCGTCTGATATAGCACCGGCTCACGGCTGCGCTCGCTAATAGGGTAGGCAGCTTGGTTATTTAAGTCGTCCGAACCCATTTAATACGGGGCTGATAAGTCCGTTATTATCTCTTAAAATCTATTGGTTCGGGCAATTATAATAACCAAGATCTTATGTCTTTAAAACATAGGGTGCGACATCGAAATATAGAAATCGTTTGTCATCAAAGTTCAAAATGAATTTCATGGTTTAAATTTATAACGTTTTAATTATGACAGTTTTTAAACCGTTAGTTCATCTATATCAAGTGTTCTCAAGTATTTTTAGTACATGCGCTGATTGGATATAACTTTACCGCCAATTCAATATAATACAATGATCATGTTACTATGACGATGCCTATATTTATTGGTTTAGTGAAAGTAAAACTTCGTTGTAGGTTTTTTCCATCACAAAAAGGCTACAAGAAAGGTACGAATCAGACGTCATTACGAAAATGCACGCTTTTAATTGTATGCAATTTAAGACATTATCTTTCATATATCCTTTTCGATGTTGGGCAAAAGTAGAAAAGAAGAAGCGTCCATACGAACTAAAAACTTTCAACTCGTGAATAAGTGATGTAAGTTTTTTACAAATTTCAAATACTGTTGCGTTGGTGTTTTCTGTTTCACTTTATTCTCAGCGTTGCGTTTTACAATTAACTGTTGCAATTTTGTCATTCGCAGATAAGCGCGGCTGGGTGAATGAATAGTTTGAAATTCTTAGCACGGCCAATCCTAGCGTTGATAAATCGTATTGTACGTAATTGCGATAATAGACTCGTTGCGAAGTGTTTACCTTTCTACGGAATTGCAGAATAATACTTTTACGAAATGGCTTGGTCAGTAATATCTGGTTTTTTATAAATTTTGGTGATGTTAAATACTGACTGGCAACGCTGCAAAGAACCTTGACTTCGATCAATTCGACTTCAATCAATTCAATGGCCAAGGTTTTCCCCCTTTTTTATGTGAGAGGGTGGCAAGCGAGCTGGTGATTCACCTGATGTTAAGTGATAGCCGCCGCCAACTGTCATTTAAAACACCCGTAGAGTTGCAGATGCGGTTGCACCTTTTATTAATTGTGAGCCCGTCTACCTCAATCACCAGATGAAACGCAGTAGTATAACACTCCCGCTTCACGCCGGTATTCTGTGGGGTCGTGGTACTCACCCGGACGTGCCCTCATGTCCCAAGTGGCCCTCCTTCACAGACACCTTGTCACAGTAGCTTGTCTGTCGATACCCACGGTTTCGTGTAGTTAATGGTACTTCCGCATGGCTCCCGTTGCAGTGCGCACCGTTGCACCATATCCTTCGGTATGGCCGGTGGAATTCGAAAATCGTGCTTCCATTTAAATTCGACCGCGAACGCCTTTTAATTTTCGTCGTCGAATGAGCTAATTGCACCAGTTCTCACCGTTTTCTGGTGTCCGTCGTGCATGAACATTATTACACCGTCAGAAATGATTGGCCACACGGTACCTTGGAATTCTGCTGTTCCGAAAAATGTACAGCTTCAGCGAGTCCTTTGATTGGTTCGTTGCGTGGTCTACACCAGTTTGATGTACATTAAATCCATATTGTTCTGATGCTGTCCGTCAGCTCCTGTCAGCACGCGATGTCTCTCCGTGTCCGTCCGAGATTACCGATTGGACAGTGATTATCGAATCCGTCAATAAAAAGTCCGCTATCACGCTACTTCGGAGGTTGAGACGCAAGTCACTTAAATTCGGTCTTCAATGGCTCTTCTTGGAACGGCGAACCAGTCGCCGCTTCCGAAAACGTCGGCGAAATTTCACGGTTTGGGATTAAAACTTTTTTTTTTACAATAGGTATGGTCTATCGGATCTAGGGTAGACCATTTAGTTACAGGCAATTCTCTGATATTGACTTCAACTAGGTAATTGTTAAATATCTGATATAATATCATCGACTTATTCATGACTTCCACAAACTGTAAATTTCACTTATAAATTTGAACAAGAACAAATTCTCGGACGAAGAAACATGCGTTGTTAAAAATTATTTACTTTTTTTTATAACGTTCATAAATCTCCCAGTACCCTTTTATTAACATTAAGTTATGGCCTATATTATTTCCAATAAAGGGTGGTGGATCTGACCTATCCTCTACGGTATGGGCCTCAACCCGTCGCGCGTCATTGAGCACCGATAATTAGGGAATGTAATCCCTATACACTTTCATATGTTAGGGATAGATAAGTTTTGATTATACTGTTCTAAATTAAAGCTTATTGAGGCATAAAGATTAAGCCTAAAAAACAGTAACCGTTGATTTACACGATGTATTGTGTGTGTGTGTGTGTGTGTGTGTGCGTGCGTGCGTGCGTGCGTGCGTGCGTGCGTGCGTGCGTGCGTGCGTGCGTGTGCGTGTGTGTGTGTGTGTGTGTGTGATAATGCAGGGCATATTTTCGTATCAATAATTTTAGCCCCTGGCAACACTAACGGTTCCATGGGAGCATTTTGAGTTTTCACTTCGCTAAAAAAATTATGCACGTCAAATAAATTACGGTCGACATCGCCGACTCTTTTATGGAGTCCAATAAAAATTGATTTTATTCTTTCGTCCGAGCTCTCGTTTCTTTTAATTAATCGGCTCTTTTCCTCTTTTTCAGGTGAGTTAATGTTATCTGACGTTTGCTGGAAGTTTTGGTGCTTAAAAAACCCATTATTGGGCCCGCAAATCCGATCGCCGCTCGTAAAGGACACAGTGAGTTTTTTTTTCTTAGCTTGTTGTTGTTATTTTGCGGGCGTTTACTGTGAGCTTCAGGTCATTTGGGATCATTCGGCGCATGTTAATGTAACGATATCTCTCGTGGTAAACGGATCGGAAATAAGTTAATTATTTGTGGTATTTCTCCAAAATCTATTTTGCCTGTTCCTATGAAGAATATAGAGTTTTTCGATCGACGTATATATATCCAAGATCACCTAGAAGAGCATTGGTACCTACTTAGTATTAAATTGTATTTTTTTTTTTCAAAATACATTACAATACAAACCGTCAATAAATTACGGTACTCTGAGTAATTTCATACATTCTATTTAGTTTATATTGCAACTGTGGTAGGGCCACGCTATGGTCTGTTGCACGAATGGGCAGGTCCGTCCGGGTAAGTAGGTACCACGATCTCACAGAAAACCGGCGTAAAGTAAATGTGTTACACTTTTGCGTTTCGTCTGGTGAGTGATGTAGCCGGGGCCCACTTTATTTAAAGGTGGCAATGCTTCTGCAACCCTACGGTGTTGCAAATGTCCATGGGCGGCGGTTATCACTCAACATCAGGTGAACCGCCAGCTCGTTTGCCACTTTGTGACATAAAAAAAAAGTTTATATTAACACATTGAAAATGGCAGTATTTAAATAACGTTGAG